TCCCGGTGTAAGGGCTGAGTCTGGGTCTTCAGATCACGCCCGAACGATCGTTTGCCGTTCTGGTAGACGTATTATTCTAAGTTTATCCTACCTACACTAGTAGCTAGAGTTGCCGTGGAAATTGCTACACCACAACACCCTGCTCCTAATCTCAAAAAGAGAACTCGGTGGTCCCTTTACGGCTTCATTCGGACTCGACAAAACTTCTGGGCTACCCACCGAGCGTCCATTTCCACTTGGTCCTGGCACAGCGGTTTTTCCCAGTCGACGTAGCGCTTCGTTGTGTTCCTCGGCTCTTCGCTCCTTTTCTGCCGCTTGATAATCTTAGGCCATTGTCAAGGCGATTTTGTGTTGTTGGCTGACTTCACGACGCCACGCTAGCGCATCGGACTGTCTACTGGATCCTCGTCCGAGTGATGAAGACATCGCCCGGATCGTGGATTGTGCGTCCCAGCCATTAACGAGGTAAAACGGCGTCTTTTTCCTTGTTGTGCCTTGAGAGGTGTTAATAGCAAACACCAACCTCTCAGCGATCTCATCCCAGTATTGTTGAAGAGGATCCTCCGCATATACACGAACGGAAGTCATCTCCGACTTCACCGAGCGTTCTTGTTGGTCGTTGGCCTGCGGACGATAACTCAAAGTCGCTCGTGATCGTGGCTGCATCATCTCGGCGAAGGCTCGGAAAACTTCACTCATGAACCTGGGGTCTCGATCATGCCGAATCAACGATGGTGCTCCGAACCGTCGGTACACACACTCTTCGAACACTCGCGCTACGCTGAGTGCAGATGTGTCGGACATGGCCTTAGCAATAACGAACCCAGTGAACGAGCATTGGAATAGCAACAGGGTAGTGTTGCCCCTGCGTGTCTTTGGTAGAGGTATCACAAAATCCATAGAGACAATCTGGAACGGTTGTTCGGCCAGTACATTGCCTGGCGAGTATCCTCGCAACTGTGGACGACTCTTATGTGAGCTGCAATCCAGGCACGACTTCACATGTTTCTCCACGTCAGCATACAACCCAAACCAGAAATAGTCGGACTCAACACGGTGGAAGGTCCTGGCGACGCCTTGATGACCACCTCCCAACGAGTCGTAGCATTTCTGTAATACTTCTTGAACCATCGTGGTAGGTACCACTAGACGCAGCTTGGCCTCCTCTTGCCACCCGTGGTCGCATCCTTGGTTCAAACCCAGGTAGTGAAGCACACCATCTTCTGACTGAACGAATCGGTCTGCGTATTTCCATGCGTTTCAAGCTTCCTTGTAGCTCATCCGCTCTGCCTCTCCTCAAAGCACTTTCTTCAGGTTTGGTCACTTCTGTTCTTCGTCTTGCGCCTTGGAAATTTGTCGGCGTCGCTCTCGTTGTATCTCTACTGGGTCGACATCGTCTGCACCAGGTACTGACGTCCGCTTAGTGCTGGAGGGTTGATCCCGTGAAATGTCATCGGGAGAATGCTCGTTGACCACTCCATCACGTTCTTTACCCTGTTCTTGACCTTTAGGTGCTTGCTCCGAATGTTCATCGGCGAATCGAACACGTTTAGCTTTGGCTTGTCGTCTGGTCTTTACTGTAATATGTTCAATTTGCTCGAATTGTCGTCACTCACGAATTTCTCGAAAGTCTTGCGTGGAGAACGTGCGTTGCCGGTTAGCACATGTACACAGCGTTTTTTCTGATGTGGCCCAACTTCTGCTGAGTCTTCATTTAGTTCGTAGATCACTTCTTGAATGCGGTTCAACGTCACTAACCCCGATTTTTGCGTTTCGGCTAATATGACTCGACTAGCTTTCGACTCCAAAGCCTCGGTGGCTAGCGAATCTGCGGCAGCGTTGTATTCTAGCACAACTTGAAGGTATTTGACTGATCGTAGCTTCACCGCGAGTTATTTGTGAGTATTCGGTAGTGCCATCAGGGACTCCTTCCGACATGCTATCACCCCTAGTGATTGCTGGATCGCGAGTCTCGAGTCACCTACAGTGACTAGGTTTACCGTAGTAGACGGGAAGTAAGCATTCGCAGCGATCACTATTTTCCACTCCGGTAGACTCCGTGATATCCACGAACAATTGCCATAACCACCATATTTCTCTGTCTTTGCAAATCCATCGAACGATAAGGCAAATTCTCGGTAGTCGCGTGGTAGCTTCGCGTAGAGCAAAGATGAGTCCACGCGAATCGACGGTGAGCCTTTGCTTGGAGGAGCCAACGGCGCCAACGTTTCTTCCAAATCCACGAAGTTTGTGATAGTGGATTGGAGTAGCTGAGCAAAGGCCACATCCTTTTCTTTGACTCGTTCTACGATCAGGTGCCACGGTGACAGCAGTACTGCAAATTGTACGGCGCGACCGAACAATGACTTGGACTTGTGGACCCAGGCTAGTGTCGAAAACCTTGTATACACGTGTAACTTTTTCGCAGCAAGCTGCGTGTAACGCGTCTTCAGGGACAAAAGGAGCGCCAGTACCTCCTTCTCCGCTGGGTGGTAGTTCATCTAAGAGTCCTTGAGCACTCAACCGAGGAATCGTACGGTGTGTAGCTTGTCTTCATGCTCTTGCATAAGTGTTGTACTCAACGCCCATTCATTGGCGAAAAGCATCACATCAACTCGGTCGAAGTGCTTCAAGATTGGAGCCTCGGCCACCTTCGCTTGTAGTGTCGCGAATGCTCGGGACTGAGAGACCGCCGCTCAGCCCAAAGTCTTCCTCCTTCAGTTGGTACAATGCTGCACCATAGACCGCGAAATCTTGGATGAATCGGCTATAGTAGTTCAATGCCCCAAGGAATGACTGCATCCCTCGCTTGGTCGTTGGGAACGACAGCTCGGTGATGGCTGCAATCTTCTTCGGGTCAGCCCTTATTCCTTCTGGCGAGACCTCATGTGACAGGAAGTCTACCTTTGTTTGGTAGAAGATGCTCTTGGTAGAACTGGCACTTATCCGACATTCTGTAAATCGAGCAAGCAGTCGGTCTAGTGTCGCTAGAGCCATCGAAATCCTCGCCATCGAAGCAGATATCATCGACAAGCGACCGACGACCGAATACTAGCACCAACGTTGATTTGTCGGGTTCCCCATTCTGAAACATATCGGCGATAGGGTCATTGACCAGTTGTATTACTGGGGCAGTGTCTACTGATACTTTGCGATCTACCTTGAGCTTGGTTTGAAACAAACCATCGGTGCTGGTCGCTCGACGTTCCTTGGCCTTTTCTTCAGCTGCACTCATCAGCTCCGAATATTTACGTCATCCTCCTTTAGGCTGGACGAACGCCCACAACGCATTGCCGATCATGCGCTGGTATATCACAGAAGTGTTCTTCAACCCGAAAGGCATCCGCAGCCATTCGAAGTGCCCTAGTGCACAAACGAATGCAGACACTTAACGCGCTCGTAGTACCATCATGATGACCCAAAAGCCGCTGGCAGTATCCAGTGAGCAGAACCATGGGTAGCTCTCGAGATCTGTCAACAGGTCGTCCACTAACGGCATCGCAAACTCCATGATTGCGGTGATGACACCATCTTGTAATCGATGCAGAGTCGTATGTCGAGACCATTCTTTTTCATAACAATCACGATCGGCGACGCCATGGACTGTCCGAGAAAACGATGAGCACGGCTCTAAGAAAGATGCTTAACAACTCGCACAGCTTGCCGAGATGGCGGGGCGGCACACGTCGATAGACATGATATCAAGTTGGCTTTGTCAACTACATTGATCGTCTCAAGTGTTCTCAGCACGTTGTTCGTTGCAAGGACGTCGGCTAAGATTGGCGATAAGCTGCTGGAAGACATCGTGATCTGTGGGTCAGCGGCAACAGGGCACTCACCGCGCGTGAAGATTACTTCTGCTGCGAGCGTATAATTTGGCGTGTGGAACAAGTGTCAGCAAACTCTAGAATAATGAAGCAGACCCCCTGAACAACCGGGACAACCCCTCGAAAAGGCCACGTAGAATTTGGCTGGCCTGGCCACATTGTTAACCCTAACCGTAGTTCCCACGACGCACAGAACCTACCAATCCCACTGACTTACCAGAATACCGCTGATAAGAGCGGTCATGGCAATGTGGGTGATTTAGTGACCTTTGATACTGCTGCGCGAACCGCCAACATTCATCTGCTAGTTTATATGATTTCAACGTATTTCAGCAATATATGCTTTAAAGAATATAGACGCCGCGGAATTTGTAGAAAACTGGTAATCTTAGCCGTCGATATACTGGACCAGCTACCGTCTCCGCACAAGAAGTAAATCATTGCGGTAAATCTGTGACAGAACCGTTTGCCGGCCTAACTGCCCGGGGTCGGCGTTGAAGAACTGGGTATGCATTGTCAATCATCTTTGATAAGCAAGTGACAAACGGAAACCCGCTCCAAAACACAACTTATATTTGTGTAGGTAAATAATGCACTTTTACCAATCGTACTGTCCTTGCTCAATACCGTGCTATGGTTGTCTCAGATCGCAGCACACTGTAGATACTTCAATATAACTACATTCAGTATCCGTTTCGGTCAAACGAAAGTGAAGTGTTGCACGGTGGGCTTCTACGTAAAGGCTCATAATCATTGAATTCACCAAGGCTTGCAGTTCGTAGTCACGATTGACAAATGGTTGTGGCCGTGGAGAAGACACGGCAGATTCCCCGAGTTCAATTCGATATTAAACGAAGTATCCGTACAAACTATGGAACAATCTTGCTGGTTTCAGCTCTTAATAGGAAACTGCTAACAGTTCACATTAACTGTTACTAGTATTAACTTACACGTCTTTTACGGCGTTCGTATCATCTCTCGCTCGGCAATGATAATGTGCCATGACCACACTGACGATTTGAAGTTGATGAGCCAAACCATACTACAAAAGCAATTTCTGCATTGGCACATAATCACCGCAACGCCAGTAAGACTACTCGTGAGTTTGGGACTGGTGCACTGGTAGCTATACTTTCACTTCCAATTTTCCTTTTTTCAAGCAACACCACCACCAAGTTTCGCTAGACCGAAGAATGCGACTACGTTTCTTGATTGTGGCCGCAGCCATGCTAGCCAGCTGCGAGGCAACACTGAGTACCTTGGTCTCAGGTGGACCTGAGACGTTGATATTGAACAAGACTAGCAACACCGCGTCATTAACGACGGGTGACAAGCGACTATTACGTGACTCGGACGGAGGTGACGAAGACGAAGACGAGGAGAGGGCTTTTAACCCGACCCAAGAGGCAGGTTTCACCTATTTGATCCGAAAGTTTCGCAGCTTTGAAGGAAAAGCGGACGACGTCATTGATCGAAAGATTAACAAGGCCGCTCGTTCCGTGGGAAAAGACCCCCAAACCTTAAAGAAGATGTATGAGATGTTTCTAAACGATGAAAAAAAGCTGCGAGCTCAGCTTGAGAGACAAGCTAGCCTGCGTAATCAGCGAGGTCAAAACCTGCACTAGCTTTTCAGATTACTGAAAGCAGCGAAAATTGGGATAAATAAGTGCTAGCGCTAACTCGAACAATGCAACGTACTTATTATTGAATCCCATGTAGGCTGTACTGTGGTAGCACGCACCCAGAGCTCGGAAAATGTATATGTTAAATTGAATATATTGTCGACGAGGAGACCTTCACAATCAATATTGTCATAATTGCAATATTACTGAAAAAAATGCAATATCGATTTAAAAGTGTGCATCCATATACTGAAGCTGTTTCTTTGACGATCTGTGACCGTATTCGAGTTCATTGGGTACGGGATAGAGGTTTCGTAGGGAAATCGCGTACGTTCTCATTGTTCTCATTGACTTCCTTGCCCTCACAGCATATCCTGATCTCACTAATTTCCTAATTACTAAGCGGCGTTCCAAGTAAAGTGGTATCTCGTTCCTGCCAGACTCTCCTCCACGTGAACTGTATGGTCGGTTATCGAAGGAATATGCTCGAGCCCACAAACACTAGATCACTCGGTTCCAGCCTTGAATTGAGACCTTGCTGTCAACGACATCATCAGCTGTTCGGGACCTCATACAAGTGGTAATTAAAACGTTCAATGATCAATAAGCTGCTACCGCGGACCGCTTCCTCGAGACGAGTCGTCTGTAGGCGTCGCTGTAGCAGAGCGCAGTATTGAGTGTATTTAGCCGTCTGAATAGCAACACATCAATTCGAATTATTAAAATGATCAAGAAGAGATTGATAAATACGAATAGTGTTTCTAGACATCGTTCTATTAGACAATATTGTGCAATGTCCTGTGGAGATTGTCGAGGTCTTCACAATCAGAATTCTTCTCCTACAATATTGACAATTTTACAATATCATTTTTTCCTCCCAAGATCTGACACGTACCCTTCTTTCGAAATATCTACGCTAGAAAACAAAGCCGACACAGAAATTGAATTGTAGTCGCGTGTGACTAGGAGTGCCACGCGTCATATCTGGAGATTTATCACCAGGAGGACAATTTTATTCTATGCGTTTGTTCATTAGCATTCTCGACAAATTCTCACTATAAAGATTTAATAGTGGCCATAGAGCCTAGCACTCACGGTGCACACTCTACAGAAGCCATCCCACCGCCTAGGCAGTTCGAGGCAAGACGAACGCAAGTCGAAGCGTTTATCTTCTCGAAAGTTTTCAGGCATACCACTCGGTCGAAGCGTCTAGTGCCTCTGTTTAATCTTCTATTGACTAAAAGAGGTATATCCTCAAAAGTGGCCTTTTGAACTCTTCAACTAATTTTTAGTAGGCTTTAAAATAGACTGCTTTTCTTGAATTGATGAAAGCGAAATCAATACTCAATGTGGTTTTTAAAAATCTTAAATGATTTAAACTGGTGGTAGCATTGACTGACCCACGTAACAGTTCCGACAAATGCCACAACAAAGCCGAATAACCAGACCAAACAAACTGGTTACTGCAACCACTGAGGCACAAACAAACATATTTGAAGTGGTGGCAGTCCAACAGAAATCTGGATATCACAAACAGACGGGTCTTTGATAAGCTCGGATTGGACGGATATTGTATTCTCCTCTCAATAACACAGTGACGCAACTAACGAATAACGGTTCGATGAGTTCCTTACCCTGCCGGGCCGTTAAGCCATGTCAAGCGCGACTTCAAGGTCGGCCCATGACACTATTGGCCCCACTCTACTCCGGCATCCGGGACCTCTCTGTCCTGAAGCGAGTGGACTACCACTCCACCACTGGACGGTTTTAAGAGTATTATTGACCATCGTCTCATTAACTTTTGCATAAAACGTGAATCGAACACGTTCATATACCATGAATTTGTATGAACACAAGGTTATGTAATCCACACACTTATCTTCCGAAAGGGTTAAAAGGTTAACCAGCTAATCCCTGTGTTGTTATAATATAACAACACACAAAGTTCGCAGGTCCGCTGCGGACATAATATGTCCGCACTTTGTGCACTCTTGAGGAAAAACAGACGAAAACTTGGACTGTTGGTAGACGAGACAGATGTTCATAAATAATAGGGCTCAAAATTACTTACTTGTGGGCGGAATTTACCGGACGATTATCCTGTTTTGCCGAATGAGGTTACATTGAGGGGTACGTATAAGGTATTGGAGTGGTTACGTTATAATCGGCAAGCAATCATATCACAGTTGATTTCGAGTTTATTAAGGTATCCCTCGCAACCAAGACAACCAAGACCTCCAGTAAGGTGATGTAGAGCAATGTTAGTGCTGCTATTACCGATGACCAACGCTCTTTAATCTCTTACTCATGATAGAAGTCACTGTTTGCCAAACCAACTGATTACTGCGTCGCTTTCGAGCGTTTGGAGTCTCATCAGGCATCTCCAAGACATCTTCACATCGTCGGAAAACTTCCACGGCCTCTTCTATTGTAGTAAGTGTCCTCGTATCGATGTTGAGTGCTGAAGCGCGTTCTTCAACCAATCCCATAAGGAATTTAAGGTCTGATAACCGCTTTTTTGTGTTTCTTTTCTCTTAGATCAACGCTCTTCAGTCTACGAAATGGGGGCAGAGATCTTGCTGGGTCTCCACAGCACCAAAACACCCATGCTTGCTCGGTAGTGCCTTCTGGTAGCGCAACATCTTCCGGAAAGGCGTGGAAACCCCCGCCCCAGGTGTACAATGAGAAATTATTGCTGGTTTGATGGACTGTTGTTGCTACTGGGGCTACACCAGGAGCATAATTTTCATCTTCATCCGGCCGTTGACGCACATAACCCTCCCTGTGAAGG